ACACACACACTTCCTAGTAGTTTTAGTTAAGCGTAGCCCTCAGCTTTTCCCTCAGAATGGTGCAAGAATAATTCCTATTCCACTAAGTGTGTTTGGATGTAGTGGAAAGCTCACCTTCTCTGAAAGGACTGCATCAGCATCAAGGGGACAACACCTGTGGACTGATGGCAACGTTTAAATAGAAAAACGATGTCGCTATCGATGCCAATATAGATATGTGACATCTAATATCAATTGAACTATTCTGGTGTGATCTGAGGTGAAAGACAGGAACAAATGGGTAAATAATAAGAAGAAATAATTTTGCTCTCCTAATGGACAAACTATAGCGTACACTATTGAACATTTACTATACATCAGGCACTATAAGCATTCCACATGTATTAACTTATAATTCTCACAACTACTACATGGCTCAGCCTGTGCTCTCTTGCAATCTGAGACTCCTCAGGGGATGTTGGACTGCCATTTTCAGCCCAACCCCTGCAGGCAAAGGCCAAGGGACCCCACTGGTACACAAATCCTGGAGAGTTTCTGCCTTATCCCCACATGCCAGGTCGAGAGACCCCACTGTGCATCAACCAGTGCACCGGGCCTCTAGTATGCATATAAGATATTTGGTTAATCTCTTCCTGCCTTCCCCCATTCCCTTTCAGATTCATCAGTCTGTTCCAGATTTCCATGCCTGTGCATTGAGTGTCTGCCCCTGGTGGTCAGTGCACATCATTGCTACTGGTCAAATGGTCACGTAGGCTTTTATCTATATAGACTAGAGGCCCAATGCATGAAATATGTGCATGGGTAGGGTCCTTTGGTCTGGCTGGTGATCAGGGCTGATCTGTGGGGTGACTGGCAGGGGGCAGCTCCTGCATTGAGCATCTGCCTGCCCTCTGGTGGTCAGTGCACATCATAGCAACTGATCAGTCTACCAGTTGTTCTGCCATTCAGTCGATTTGCATATTAGGCTTTTGTTATATAGGATTATGGAATGCAATGGTTCATCAAGACCAATGCAATGTTCCTTTAAGCTGAAATGGAAATTTATAGCATAAATTGAGATTCATTTTGAAATAATAAAAATTGAATATAGCTATTTTATAGGTTGAAGTGTGCATAATCTGAGGATAAGACAGACATGCATATGTGTAGGTGAAAATATCACTAGGACCTCATTGATTTCCCCAGGCTGATGTGACTCAGGGAGCACTTCCTTTTTTTGGTTTCCCATAGAAGCTTTTCCTCTCCATGACTCTCAACTTCAACTCACAATTTACAGCTGCCAAATCACATCAGCTCAGGTCCTGCTTCACTGTCAGAAGAGCCATGCTCTATTCTGCCTGTAGCTCTGTTCTGAGCAGAAAAGGGATGAATATAACCTCCACCCCACCCCCACATGCACAAACACAAATCAGTAAAATAAAACATAAAAAGTTATAGCTTTTTTTCTCCCTATGTAGAATTGTATATGTAATATTTTAAAAGGACCTAAACAGATAAGAAATTCCTCTCATCTCATTGTACCCTTCATGGGCCAAGGATCATCCATATATATATATATATAAACAAAAAATAGCCAGAGAAACAATAGGAATGACTTTTATTTTGCTAAAGATTCCACCATATATCCATTTGTTCATGCAGAAATTATGATGTGTTTGATCTCATAAAATGTTTTGATGGCATTTTTATATAAATGATTCAGAGGAAAGGAAAACACTTAGGAAATAGAATTCACCCTGCTTTTGTTCTTGGGGGTTGAGGGGTAACCTAACATAGAATAAACAGTTTTAATGTGTTTGTTATAATGTCATTCTTTAATAGCATTTTATGTAAGTAACACTCAAGCATGGCAACATAATAGCCCTGAGAAATACACAATTCAAATTGAGTGGGGCGCATTGTTTTATGAGGTGAATAGACAAATACATTAGTCAGTAGAGTGAAGATGGCATTTAAAAAAAAAAAAAAACCTTGGAGCTAGTCCTTCCAATTCTCAATATCTGTGCTATATGAAAGTAACCTTGTGACAAAACCATGAAAATTGAAATCTATACCAGAGGCCTCTTGGGAAAAACAATTCACTGGCAATTAAATTCACCAACTAGCACATATATGGAATTGGTTTTGATTTTGCAGAGGGGATTGTATTCTTGTGGAATGCGGTTATTGAATAAAAGGTTGGTGTTATAAATTAGGAAAAAGAATAAAAATTGTTTCCCACAACCATCTTCCACAGCTTTGTCATCATGTATAAAATTCTATAAAATTCTCAATTTCATTAAGAAAAGTTTTACTTAGTTAGTCTGCTTATTTCCTTGTCTAGACTTAAATAAAGATGCAGTTTCTCTTGACTTCAGCTGGAAGAATGGATATACGAAATGGAAATCTTTTTTCTAAAAATTTTTCTTCACATAAGCAGGAAATATAAAGCTCTAGAAATGCATTATCATTATAAGGGATAAATTAAAATTATTTAAAATCAAGCTTAAGTTGAAATATAAGCAAGGGAGATACAGAGTCAATTAGGAAGTAGCACAGAATCATCAGATTGAAAGATTTGTTGGGATCACTTTTAATTTTTGTCAAAACCTTTGTTTCCACTTTCATTGCTACAGATTGCACACTCAGAAATAGAAGAATCTCAAAATCTAAATTTTGCCAGGCAAATTCTTTATTCGACATCCATTTAAATATTAATTTACTAACTACATTGATCTTATTTTCTTACAAAGAGTTAACATTCACTGCAATGACAGTTTCATCATGCTACAATCTATTCACAAACCTACACTTTGAAAAAAGTGCTTTTCTAGGAAATGTTATATATACCGGTAATACAAATGGAAAACGTACTGTCTTCAAATTGTCAATCTACACAAAATAAAACCAATCTACCACCAACATTCAGTATACATTAATCATATTTTTTAAAAAGAACATTTTCTTTACATTTGGCAGTTCTGTTCAACAAGGATTTCTATAAATTTAAAAGTAATAAAAGTATATACAATTTAATAATGTTAAAGTAAAATGTATTAAATAGCACAAATAACATTACAAAACTAAACACCCTTATCATTTATAGGAAGCAAGAGGTCCTGTGTGGTTTCCCCTATCTTTTGACTCTGAAACGATTGTACTTTCAACTCTGCACACAGAATAGCTTGACCATAAACACAGAAGATGGTTTTGGCGTGACACACTTTTCTATCTGTGCACGTTGAGGAGAAATAGGCAAATAATTTGTATAATTTCCTTTAAACAGGCAAATTATTTGTATAATTTGCTTCACGGACTACTTTAGAATTATACCTATTTGCAACAATAGTTTTTAATTAATAGCTTTTTATCTAAAAATGGACATTATGATGTTGTATTCAACAGCTATTTTTGCCCTATTGAGGCCTCTTCTTTTAACATAATTTACCACCTCTTAAATAATTAATCATATTCTTAGATTTGGATCAGTGACTACATTCACTTTTACAGTGATTTTCAGTTCTTGAAATGTTATATTGCAGTGCTTAAAAAGGTGACATATTTACCTTGATTCATTCTTCATAGATAGTTAACTACAAGTAAAACTTTTTTGATTAGATATATCATGCAATTTCTGTTTGTACCTGGTAATTACCTTTAAAGATAAATAAAACGAAAGAACAAATTTGTGACTTTAAAAGAAATATAAAAGTAGAAAGAAATTTTCATCTAATTGTTATTTGGAATAAAATTTCACATTAAATTATCTGATAAAATGATTCAAGCATACAACTAGAAGATAATTATTTTATTCATCACAAAACTTCTCACATTTGTATTTATGTATCAGTGAACATAATTAACAAGCATTCTTTTTAAAGAAAATCATATCTATTTTTAAGACTAGATTTGTTTTTTCATTTGTCCACAAAATGAACATCTCTTCACAAAAGATCATTAAAAATTAACTGATGACTTAAAAATAAATTTTATATCTGAGGTTGGTAAACAACAAGCAAAATATGAGTTAATAATGGAATTAATTATTAAAGCTAAAAAGTAGTAATAGCTTAATAAAATTTTGCTAATAAATTTGCATTTTCTACTTTGTTTTTCTTATTATTCCATTTTGATGGTTTTAACTCTCATATACAAGTTTGATATTTCAAAAGTTTTATTCTTATATTGACTAATTTGTCACACAAAATAACAAATTAGAACAAACTCAATCTATTAAAAACAGGATTAGGTTATAGTCTCTGAGTTTAGAATAACTTAAAGGATTTCCCCCAAAAAAGTGCTTTTGTTTGGAATATGATAACATAAGAATATAAACATAAATGCTTCACTGACATAACTCCAATCAAAGCTGTTTGTCATGAGGGTCATTCATTTTATCTACTGGAAACAAAGCAACAAGTCAGTGACAGATGTTAGCAACTGACGATTTTTACAAAGCTAAAAGTAACCGACAACATAGTTCACTGGATGCATATACACTCATCTCTTCATGAACTACTTTTATCTTATATATAACTTTTAGATGCCCTCTTGTCTTTTTTCTAGTCTTTGACAGTTACTCGGTCACATGCATTTATATGATTTTGACCATGTAAAAGTTGTGACTTTGGTATTTGTTTTTCTATGTAAAATTAATGACCTTTGAGATCTTGGAAGACCACAGGATTATGGCCCTCGTTCAAGGCAGGGATGGAAGAATTCTAGTTTTACAACCACCATCTTAATTCGAAGAAAAGGTAAATAAAGATATAAATAAAATCTAGGTTAATTTAAATATTTATATGCACCATGAGGATCATGACATGTCTAGTGCTAGCCACTATCATACAAGAAAATGCATGCGTGTTTCAGTTCTTGTAACATTCACTTTAGGAGTGTGTAATCACCTTTCTCAGGACTTTCCCATGGGTACGAACAAGATTCTTTGTTCAACATTTGATTACTGAAGACAGACAGACCATTGAAGACTCTGGGGAGCATACGCCCCACGTAAGAAAACATTAGGACTCTGGCAACTGGTTCCTCCTGTTTCTGCTTTTCCGGCTGTTGATAAGAGCCTTTAACTTGCCATAATCCCCTCTCATCTTTTGGGATTCTTCTGCGTGTTGATGTTGCTGCCGAGTGTCTTTGCAGTACTGGTTAATCATCTGCATCTCCGAGTGACTGAATGCCCCCATGAGGTCCTTCGGGTGGAAAGAGAGAGCCCTCACCGAGCTGGCCCAGGTCCATGGGGACCATTTGTCTGTTGCAACGGCTACCATATCAGAATTCAGAACTTTAAAGTTGATCTTGGCGATGGTCTGCTTGAAGCTGTTTTCTGTGGCAATGCAGTGGTATAGTCCTTGGTCAGAATCCTGAATGGAACGGATTAGGAGTCCCTGTGAAGTGGCTATGATGCGTTCATTCAGCTTGACCTACAAGAGAGACATCAAAGTTCTGAAAACCCAATTTTGTATCTTCTAAAAATTTATGGACAACATAAACAAAATACGGTTGATTTTAACAAATTTGGCAAATAACTAATTTCCTTCCTAGGGGACACAGATTTTAAAACAGAGGGTGAAGTTACCACTCATATTGCCAAAAATAGCTTAACGTGAATTCCTTTTGGATAGAAGTAGTTTCTGCACAGATAAGCCCAGAATTTTGGTTGCTTTTGGAAATGACTCACCGTCAACATATATAGCAAATGAAATTCATACATAATTTAAAGTATCTCTCAGACTGAAGTTCTCACCCCTTATTGTAGAAAAAAAACCCATTTATTAATAAAAACATGAATCAACTATTAAAGGGATGAATTGCACCCTTTTGAATGAATGAATAAATATTCTCCTAACTAAAAATTATATAAGCAGAGGCAGTTTTGAAGATTACCAAAGGCTTTTGCCAGTTATTTCATACTAAAGAATCACTAAAAATAAGCTTCAATGTCATTGTCTCAAGATTTATAAGTGGTTTTACTTTCCAAAGAAAAGTAATAAAAAGCTATGAGGTTACTATATAGTTATTTTATAGGCTTACACTGAAAAAACAACACAAAACAACTGATGTCATTTGCTAGACAGCAGTCCACCTTCCCTACAGTTCCAGCTACAGCATTCCCAATGAACAGAGTAAATCTAAGTGCTAAGAATGTCCTTGACCTATTTACTCTCACTGAGTATCCTCTCACTGAGGGAAAAGGAAATTTGACACAAAATAATATAAAGGAATGCATGTGAAATGTTTTTCTAAATGGTACATTTCTATATTTTACAGGATCCAAATCAAAGAAAGGTCCTTTTAGATAAGAAGTTACCCACACAAAAAAAATATAGTATTGAAACATAGACAATGGAATGGCACTAGACAAGAGAGAGCAGGAGGAAGTAAAGACTAGAATGTATAAAAGTTTTGATGTTAAATTTTAAAGTTTAAATGTGCATCAGAAAGAGTAAATACATTCAGGATGAAAGGAAAAAAAGCCTTTCCTTTCTTGTGCAAAATTGGGGAAAATTTTGGAGGTCAATTTGATAATATCTATATAATATGTACCCATATAACATGCATACTGAGTGCAGCAATTTCATTTCCAAGGATTTGTTAGGAGATATACTCTTACAATTATGCACATTCTTATTTGCATAATGTTTTTAAGAGGAAACACAAGAAAAAAAACTAGCCAAATGATAATTTTAAAAAACTTAAGGTTTGTCTATACAATGGAAAACCATGCAACCAAGAAAAATGAAATAGCTTCATATATACTGATAATAAATAGTGGGAGACCAGAAAAATTATAGAGAATAGTTGGAGGATTATATAATGATTAAATATATCAGTTTGGTAGCCTTCCACTCTAGGAAGTGGGAATAAGTATTAAAGTGAAAGGGAGAAAGGCTTGTATTTTTTACTTTATACAATTCTTTAAAACTATTTTATTTTTCTACATTTAGCTTATTTTTTAAAAAAGTTGAATATTTATATATTATTGATATGAGAAATAGCATATATATTGCCTAAACTAGTAGGAGAGAAACAGGATAAACATTCTTGAACATCTTGAAATAGAATAATGGAATTATCACAAGAGATTTAATTAATAACTTATTCCATTCTAATTTTATTTATTAATTCCTATATTAATAAATGTATTCGACGCTGTGTATATTCATTTACTTTGATTTTAAATAATAAAAATTATATATAGTTATATCATGTATTATTTTATTGAACTTTTTACTGAATGAAAAGAAAACATTTTATCCCTATTAGATAATCCCTGTTTGAATTTTAGGTTTCCTATTAACCTACATTCAGTTAGACTTTCTCAGGAAGGATGGTTCAAGTCCATGTGTCATGTTCTAGCCCAAGAACTCCATTTCTATCTGATACTCACCATCACACATTATGACTGCTAGCCCAGGTTACTTTGCAAGGCAGTTATTATAATAGTCTATATCCATTTCAAAGAACTTAAAATCAATTAGTCTATATAATTCCAAAACTTCTTTGATGATAGATTTTGTAGCAAAGAAAAATAGATATCCAATAAACATTTTTAAAGTTAATAAAATATCTTTAAAATTTTTTAATATCCTTGAATTCTGGAGCAAAAAGGGGCCCTGAAGTCCACCTAGCACTTCTTTCTCCAGATAGATAAATAAATCCCTTCTCATGCAAGTGGTCATCATTCCATGTTTTAATATTCCAGTGCATGGTACACACATTTCCTAAACAGTTCATAGCATTTTTGAATAGGCAGGTTTGAGAGTTGGAAAGCATTTTCTCAACTTTTAGTAAGTCTGATGTCTTGATTCTATAGCTTGGGATGTATCCATTCTACACAGGCCTAATTAACCTATATGTAGGACCAAAACTACCCACACATAACTCACATAAATGTAGTAAGCTCCCTTTTCCCCTTCTCTCTATCATTTTATGATGTACTTACTGAAAACAGCTTTACATTTTAGACTACACCGAGGCTTTATGCATAAATATATCTTTCTCCTCTTTTTTCTGTCATTTGTCAAGACAACATGACATCAATATTATGAAATTCATGATTTATAACATTTCATCCCATGCCATTTTAAAACGGTTTTCCTTTCAAAACAGCTCTTTCCAATCAGCGAAAGGTTAATGTAAGTGTTCTTTTATGTGAAAATCTAGTTTCCCCCCCGAAAATCACAAAATAAAAGCAGCAGCCCCATAAACAATGATTCCATATATTACCCAACCAAACCCCAAGAGTTATGAATAATAAAGCAGTGGAAACAGATGACCACACAGCAGAAAAATGTTCTTCACCGTAAAGGTTATAGTTCAGGGTACTTTTTGCTGAGGAGAACTGAACTTTTCTTTTAAAGCCCCTTTTATCTTGTGAATCACACAAAGGTGCTGTTGTGTGAGAGCCCGGCTCCTGGATTTGCACACATCTTGTTTCTTTTACCAACGCTTCCTCACATCACTACTCCTGCCTGAGTGCCCACGCTCTTGTTTCCGTCACCATGTTGTTGAGGTGAGCAGGTAGACAGGATTTCTAATTGACCCATCAGTCCCAGGGACGAAGGACGTTACAGAAGGTGGCACCTGTCACCCCACAGACATACAAGGATGTTCAGATGCTTTTCCCTTCTCCTTTGATCTGCACCTCACTGAGGGATGGCGCTGTAAGGCACTCTGCAAAGCCCTGATTGATGGCTGCTGTGCTCTCTCACTCACCTCTTTCCTCCTGTCTTTGTCTTTCTGTAACAGCCACTTGATAGATGCCTGTGGAGACTTGGGGGCACACTCAAGGAAAGTGGTGTTATTTTTGACTCCATACTGAACAATTTCAGCTGCATTTCTATAGGCTGGAAAGCAAAAATAAGTGGAGAGAGAGAGGAACAGTGGAATTTTAAGTTATATTCTCCTCTTTGAGTGCCTAGTTCTCTATAAAATTTAGATCAATTACAGCAGCCCCCAGAGGCAGTCTTAATCACTTAGCAAGCAGACTATTATACTGTGCATTGTTTACCGGTTTTATTTAGTCCAAAGGGAAGGAAAGACATAAGGAAATCAATATGTATTCAAGAATCACTTTACACCAAATAGCAGAGGTGTAACAACAACAGGAATGCACTTAATATCACTTTGAGATTTAATTATTACAACATCCTTGTGATTTAGGTTCTCTCAGCTTCTCACAGCTGAGCAAACGGAGCCTGTGAGTTATGAGGAAATGTATCCTAGCTAAGGAGTTAGTAAATGCCAGGCAATATTAAAGCCAGATCCATTCCATACTCAATGTAATATAACTAAAACTCAGAAAAAGCAGAAAAGATAGGAAGCAAGGTGTGGCCACAGAGGGATGGAGTGGCTGAGACCACAGGCTTTGAAATCAGAGGTACCTGAGGTAAAATCCTGACTTCACTGTCATGGGCTGTGTAACCTTAGACACATTACTTGATCTCTCTGTGCCTCAGTGTACTTGGCTCTAAGACACAGAGTATAATAATTTCACGGAGGTTCTTTACTAAAATTCTTAAATTAGGAAAAGCTTTTAGTGTAATCATGGGGTAGCTTAAACAGACAGAATACTCATTTATAACATGGGAATAGAAACAGACCCTACTTGAGAAGAGTTTCTTGAGCATTAAGTGAAATAATCATTAAAAAACAAAACAAAACTCAAACATTTAGCTCAGTTTCTGACACAAAATCAACATTGATGTTTGTTCATACCTCTATTCTAATACTCCTACCACTATGGCTACTACTGCCATTAAGGAGAATGGACACAAAGTTTATGAAACACTCAGTAATTACAAAAAGTTAACTCTAGATTAAAAAAGATTAGCAATCGGAGTCTCAGTGTTAAAGGTTAACAGAGGCACATTTGCAGCACCTTGGTGAGTTCTGCCTGGAGATACTTCTATTGGTTGGGTTGATGAGGGGAGAAGGGATTAGTGGGGAAAGTATAATAACATGATAGCTTCATGTCAAATGGGAAGAAAGGGATTAGATTAACTGTAAAGGCAAGGCAGAATTGTCAAAAGTATAGGGAATGGTTATCAATTGTAAAATCAAGCCACTGAAGTACACCGATATTCAGAGTAGGATTATTCACAGTAACCAACTAGTGAAAGCAACCCAAATGTCCAGTGATGAATGAATGGGTAAAAAAGTTGATATCTATACTAATAGTAGAGAAATATGCAAATTGTCCAGGATGCTGTCAGGTAATGATCAATCAGGATAGGGCAGGGCCTCGGTGGAGAGCTCTCAGTACACCTGCATCGGGGTCTGAAGGGCACAGAGAGGAAGGGAGAGCAGATAGGCAGTTAGGGTAAACAGGGAAAGAGTGAAGAGCAAATAGGTTGATGGGGGATCAGGCATGGAGGGGAGAGCAGATAGGCAGTTAGGGGGATCAGGCCAGAAAGAGAGGGCAGTTAGGGCCCAGGCTGGCAGGGGAGCAGTTAGGAGCTACTGGTTCTGGATTGAGAAAGGGCTCTCAGATTGGAGAGAGTGCAGGCTGGGCTGAGAGATCTCCCTCTGTGCATGAATTTCATGCACTGGGCCTCTAGTATACACATAATGGGATATTTTCCCGCCTTAAACAGTTAAGAATTTCTGACATATGATACAACCTGAATGAACCCTGATGAAGAACCCTTATGCTAAGTGAAATAAGCCAATTACAAAATGACAAATATTGAAAATTTCTAGATTTTTTTTTACAGTTCTTATTATACATACAAATAGCATTTACTTTTTAATTACCATATTTAAATACCAAGAACTTTAGGTTTCCCTAAGTGAAATGTGGTATGGAGCATTGCTATTTTTTATCAAGTTTGATCATTGCTCACTTTTACTACCTTTGAGATTAAATCCTCTGCATTGGGTCAATGGGTTGCCATGTCTTACATCTTGTCTTCGGCTCCTCCTATAAGTGCAGAAATATATAAAGGGCTCAGAATTATCATCATATTAAAAAGACAGCATTTTTAATTTCAAAATCTTGTGATTGTCTAAGCTTTCATAAAGAGGTCTAATTAGCTGATATTTCTTGTTCACCGCTACAATTATAAGGTGGGTACTTGACCTGGCTTTTAATCAAAATTAATTCAGTCTCTCTCCATCTACCACCTGTGATATAATAACTCTGAATCTCCTATTAGGTACATTTCCTGGGTAAATGTTAGATTCCAAATTAATAGTGGAAATTTTTAGCAGAGAAACATTCATTCAAAGTTTCCTAAAATGATCATTTCCAATGTATAAAGTCACTATCATCTTCCTTTTATAAATTTTTTCTTAATTAAGCATATTTTTCTTTAAAAATTCAATACTTTCTAACACTTTTTTGGGTATATTAAAACTTTTCCAAAATAAATAATACAAAGATAAAGACTATGGATATCCTATATAATAAAACACTAATATGCAAATCAACCAAACAGGGGACTAACAGGTTGCTATGACATGCACTGACCACCAGGGGGCAGATGCTCAATGCAGGAGCTGCCCTCTGGTGGTCAGTGCACTCCCATAGGGGGAGCACTGCTCAGCTAGAAGCCTGGCTCATGGCTAGCAAGTGCAGCAGTGGTGACAGGAGTCTCTTTGGCCTCCGAGGCAGCGCTAAGGAGCAGCAAACTGCACAGTAAAGAGCCTGCCAATAGGGAGTAGCCAGCTGAGCGGTAAGAAGTGAGCAGGTGGGAGAGAAGGAGTGGGGGGTCCTGGACTGGGGGGAGGGATGTCTGACTCCTGGCTTAGGCCTGATTCCCGGCGGAGTGGGCCTAAGCCAGCAGGCGGACATCCCCCAAGGGGTCCTGGACTGCAAGAGGGCGCAGGATGGGCTAAGGGACCGACCCTCTGGTGCATGATTTCACACACCAGGCCTCTAGTTTAATATAAAGTTAAGCAAGATTGCTCATTTACAAGAATAAGCATTTTCCTTTAATTTCTTATTTTGAAAATTTCAAGTCCACACAAAAGTTGGTATATGAGTACAATTGAATACTGGTATTCCTCGATTCATGAATTGTATTTTGCCATTACTTATTTTTCTCTCATATGAAAGTGTATATCTTGTATGTACTGTGAAAATACATATATGAACATCTTTAGAAAATAAGTTGGTGTGGTTTCATGCTTAAATGCTTTATTAGCATGTATCTTCTAAGAACAAGTAATTTTCCTAAATATAGTATCACTGTAAAGATATTAATATTTATTCAATATCATATACTACACATTTTATATTAAAATTTCCCTAGCTATCCCCAAAATATATCTTATAGATTTTTTACAATGTTCAGAATGTTTTATTAAAGTACAAAGTTGTTGGAATTAAACGAAATTGCAAAACATAGTAAATATTTACAAAAACATTTAAATCACACACATTTAAAATACAGATAGTTCTTAAAAAGTTTACAAGTTGAAAATTATAGAGATTTCCCAAGATGGATATAATGCCTCACTACTGAGTATGGAATCAATAAAATATGTAAGATCTTTGAATTACTTGCAAACTAATTATTTAATTTTCTGAGTCTTGGTTTTGATTTTATTACATGGTATAATGAATTAAAATCAAGTAACTGACATTCTCTTATAAATGACTCATGGAGCTAGGTATACATTGCTATACGAGTCAGAAAAGGAAACTTTCTTTAGATATTGGGAGCAAAGGGATAAATTGGCTATTTATTACCAATGCTGAGAAGTATATGAATAAGCATATCATCTAAGTGGGTTAATTGTTAAGTCTATCTTAATATTTTTATCCTTAAAGATAAAATATTCAGTAAGAAGAACAGAAATATTAAAAATCACACAGGGATGATCACATTTTCAAAGCAAAACTAATCTCAAAGTTAATGATAATGAAAAATGTCATTTTAAGGTTTCAGCAAATTGTTAATATTTTATGTACTCAATGGATTATACACATCTATATATGGAAATATAGGTATAACATTTTGTGTTATTTAAGTATGCTTTTTCCAAAACTGTCACATGATCCTTATCCTGTATAATAAGAGAGGAATATGCGAATTATCCATTATGCCCTGAGGTGTAACGACCGATGCATAAAGACAGGATCACGGATCTGCAGGAGGATGGGGCAGCGAACTACAAGCGGGCGGCGGAGGGGAGAGAGCAGTAAGCTATGGGGGAGAGAGGGGGTATGGGGCAGAGGCAGCCACCTACTGGTGCACGAACTTGTGCGCAGGGCTACTAGTTCAATTATATATTTCTGTACCATCACATAAACACAAACTAGTGGAAGTCACTCTTGTCTCAGAAAATAGAGTTATTGCTGTTCTCTAGAATAGTTCCTCTATTAAATATAGTTATTGCTGTTCTCTAGAATAGTTCCTCTATCAGGTTTACAGCATTACATTGGTTTTAAGTCACAGTATTATTTACTATCAGCCAGCTTGTGAATGTACATATTACATGAGCACCACAGGAGAGCTCTTACGGCTGAACTGGTCATTTTCAGCCATGAAGACAAAGCAGTATCTCACTCACAATGGTTATATTTATTTTTCTGTGATCAGCACCATGTCATGGCTTACCCGTGTACATGAACCCTCAAGCTGGGCAATCTAAATTTACAGCAACACATAGCTTTCAGACATTAAATTACTAAAGAAAGTATTATAGCTTGGTTTAAATGATGATATCAGCAAGGCTGTCATTTGAGCCTTTTGTATGTGTAGGTTTCCTGTAAGGCATTCATAATGTTGATGGGCAGAATAATATTATATTGCATGTAGGATTTGGGATTTGTCTCAAGTTGCTAATGTTTTCTCCATTATAGTCTATTTCTTTGGCTAAACAATGAAATCATTTTCTTCTCATATAGAAAACAGATATTTACTTGAAGATTGAACTGATTATCCTGTCTTAACATAAAATTTCTAACTACGTATCTGAATCCAGAACAAATAACATTTGAGTCTAAATTGCAATATTTGATACTAATGCCCAAATATTTAAGATACTTGTGGGTAAAGAGGGGGGAAAATGCTTACATTGTTTACTATTTGCTAACTTCTTTAAGAAAGAGAAACTATTGAACCAATGACATATAACAGCTTTCTGTCAAAGTGTAGACTTTACTGATTTCCAAAAATGACTCTATTTCTCTTTTCCATACAAAGGACATATTTTTATTTCATTCCTATGTTTCTCTCTCTCACATACATACATACATATATATATGTATTTTTTTTTCTATCCCTTCCTTTCTCTCAAAAATCAATAAAAATCACATTCTTAGGTAAGGATTAAAAAAATGAATGTGAAAAATTCTCCTAATGAGCATTTTTATCATTACTATTTAATCTCTAAAGAAAATAAATACTACCTTTGGGAATTTAGGAAATAATCTATTCAGCAAACATGCTTTGTTTTCACAAAGTTTGGAAATTCTTTGGATAATTTAAATAGTAAAAGTACTTTTAATGAAATTTCCAGTATATGAGCCAAAGATGAGTATACCTTATATATTGCATCTTTGGCTATTTATGAAAGAATTAGGACATTGCTAGAGATCACCAAGATTGTTTGTATTGTTTTTATTGAAGTATAGTTGACATATAAGTTTCAGGTATACATAACATAATTTTTGATACAGGATAAGGCTAGGTAACATGTGTCACCATACATAGTTGTGACGACAGCTTTAAGATACACTCTCTTAGCAACTTTCAAATATGAAATACACTATTTTAGTTCTTTGATGCAATCATAAGGAATTGCTTTCTAAATTTTGCTTTCTGACACTTTATTATTAGTGTATAGGAATGTATATTGATATCTGTAACTTCATTAAATGCCTTTATTAGTTCTAACAGCAGACCTGTGATTCATGGTTTAATGCCAGGTACCATATTAACTTTAAAAAAAGAACTGTATGATTATTTCAGTTCTTCGTTTACTGCAAGAACATGACTCAAGTCATGGTTTGTCACATTAAGACGATGATGTGGAATCTGTGTTTCTAATATACATCTGAGAAAGAGTAACTGGGGATATAATAAGTGGGAGAGGAGAGAGGACAAATGATTCAACTCATATTTCCACACAAACCTGAATGAGATATCTCAAATGTGCAATGGCAGTCCATTCGTAGTTTAGGGTTTTAGTTAAGAAATATTTATTGTTTGTTAAATAAGAATGCTTGTTGGTCAAAGCCAATGTCTGAGAGCTTTACAGGGAAGGAGCTAATCTCTAATTCTTTCAGGTCACAGAAGAGGGTGCTATGCTTCTATGGCTGTGGTGAGATGCAGTTTGTGTCCCCATATCACTGTCTTCCTTACAAAGTAAGGGCTTAGGTTTCCTGCAGCACCAAATTTGTTTAATAGGTTGAAGGTTGTGTTCCAGGTTTTACAGATGCCAACCTTCGGAGTGATTTACTACGGGGGGGAAAAATGGCCTTACATACAGTTATGGAAATAATTTTGAAATATCACTGCAATCATTATTAGGAGTGAAAAACAGATATAGTTGTAAATACAAATAAGGGTCCACAAAAATCACTTTTAATTTGAGATTTCATTTGGAATTTGCTTGCCTCATAGTTATGCCCAGATTCAGACCTGCAGCCCACTGCAGACGGAAGATCTCAGTGTAATGAGTCCACAAATTCTATGTAGAAATCTAAAGAAGCCACAGAGCTCCTGATTACATCTTAAAATGACATGGAGGCACATAGGTTTTGGAACACGGATACTGAGAATCCTGGTTTAAAGAACAGGAGTTCTCTTTATAGCTCATGAATTTAAATACAAAAGACTTTTAAATTATCTAGCCCAGGCCACTCCTCTCTACTCCAGGTTCATATTTCTAACTTCCTACTCAACATCTCTACTTGACTATCTCATAGCACCATTCACTTATCAACTTTCTCCCCACAACTTTACTCCTTCGACAGTCTGCTCTTTCTCATTAAATTCCATCTACGTATTGCCAATATGCAGTTCTGAGAACTTGGTTTATCTTCTTATAAATGCAGGTCTCTATTCCTTTAACATACACATGTGCTACATTAGCAGATTCTGTAAGCTCTGTCCAGAATTAAATCACTTTGTCACCTCTACCTCTATCATCCCTGTGCAAGTCACCATTATATTTCACCTGGATCATTAGAGTAGTCTTTGGCAGCTTCTCTCTGCTTTCCCCTCATCCTCCTTCTACCCCAGGTCTGCAATCCCAGACAAACCCAACCAGGTCTTATTAAACAAAAGTCAAATTATCGCTCACATATTGAAAATCTCTCTGTAGATTTCTATGTCAATTCAGCTTTAAAGATTTCTGAACCTCCTCTTTGAAATGTTATTCTTCCAAATAATACCATGGTTCCATTCTTCACATTCAAGTCCTTGTTCAACTATCTCATCCTTGGTAAGGCCTCCTTGTCTACCCACTTAACATTACAACCCTCTGCTTCCCATATCCTTTATCTCTCTTTACCCTTTTATAATTCATAGACCTTTCCATTTAAAAAAATATATATACTAGAGAGTTTTCTTATTTGTTTATTACCTGTCTTCCCCCTTTAGAATTTATTATCCCTCGAGGCAGGGATTTTTGCCTTTCTCTTGTTGTTGTTCTTAAGAGTGATATACCTAGCTCGAGAACATTGCAAGTCAAAATAATTGTCTGTGATACAAATTTATTGACCCAATAGATAAAGGCATCAGATTCATCTTGATATGCACAAGTGCAAGGATTGTTTAAACTGCCAATGTCCTTGGGCTTGTATCTATGACATGCTATAAAACAACATCCAATGATTTACTTAAGAGGTCCTTGGTGCTTATGGCTGGTCCTATTTGCTCTCTTGTGCTGACACTAATTTTTATATGTATTGATCCTGTCATCCATCATGACCCATATCAAGGTTTGACTGAAAATATCTGTGACCTTGGCTGATTCTAAAGTCTACATATAATTTGTTCTACAGTCAATTTCAGTTCAGGGAGTCCCTTCTACATGGGTACAAGTTGGTTCAGAGTTTCCTGCCCAAGTATTTGCTTAGATAGAAGTCACTGCCTCAGACTGCCTTGTTCTATTGATCTAACCAGCAACCAGATACTCACCATTCTAAAGGGTAAAGAATGCTCGTCAAGTTTTCAAAAGCAATTCAGGATACCCATCTTGGAGCCATGCTCTTTTTATCTAAATCAGTGGTCAGCAAACTCATTAGTCAACAGAGCCAAATATTAACAGTACAACGATTGAAATTTCTGAGAGCCGAAAACCACTTGTGCATATGGGCCCCAAAGTTTCAATTGCATTGTACATGCATGCCTGCATGTGGTATTTGTGGAAGAGCCACACTCAAGGGGCCAAATAGCCGCATGTGGCTCGCGAGCCTCAGTTTGCTGACCACTGGCCTAAATTAGCACAAGTACTTAAAAATATATTTATATTGATCTTTAGAGAGAAGGGAGACAAAGAGAAATGTTAATTCAAGAGTGACACATCCTTCCTCTGTCTCCTGCACACCCACTACATGGGATGGAGCCACAATCCAGGCATGTGCCCTCACCCTAGAATTGAACCTCCAACCCTTTGGTGAGGATGACCAACTGAGCCACACGGGCCAGGGACCTAACACAAGCAAATGACACAGGGAAGCCCTAGAAATGTGGGATTTAGGATATACACAATCAAATATATAACATGAAAAAGATTAAAAATTAGTTAATGTAAAAAAGAAAAAAAAAGATAAATCCTGATTGGAATATTTCATGTAACACAGATGTGGAATTGTGTTGCAGAGGTACCTTAAAAGAAGGGGAAAATATTTCCAAAGTATGGCATTCTAGTTCCCATATTCCTGAGGATCTCAAGTTATAAAGCGAGAACATGTTCTTCATTCAAAGACCATTCACAGTGTTTTTAGTGCCGGTTTGCAAGCTGACCACAATTGCCTGGTGACATCCATTTTGATTTTAGCTGAATGCTTCATACTCACCGCTTCCCAGTTGGGTAGAACCTGGAGCAGGAATGGCCGTCCCAGGCGCAGTAAGGGTCCCTGGCCAGGCAGCAGTCGGCGCAGGCTGTGCCGTAGATGTGGCAGCGATGCAGGGACACTTGGGAGACCCCTGCGTTGGAACTCACATACAACTGTTGCTATGAGAAGAATGACAATGATTTATTTCAGACGCAGAAGTTAAAAGGGGACTTTCAACAGGAACACATTATAATACTTGCCCACAGACCCCTGGATTCATTTTGAAACTAGACTAAAAACGAGAAAGCGAAGTCCAGAAGGGTATAAAGCCAAAATAAATAGAAGTTTTCTATGTTAATATGCCTATAACATTACCACTTTCCTGTTTAAAGGAAAAAGCTCAGAGTACCATGTAGAATGGTAATGTGTTTTAGACATTGGGATTCATTGTTCTCTCAGATTTGAGCTAATATATTTCAGGTTTAAATTATGTTGTTTGCTTTTTTCTTTGAATGCTGTCTCTTAGCAAAGGACAAGGGAGCTTTCTTATTCTTCAAGTCTGGCAACCCATCACGTTGTAAATTTGAAAAAGTGAAATCTAAAATATAAGACGTTTTTAAATTTAAAAGAAAAAAGTAGATAGTAGTACCTAAAATAAAATGGAAACATTTTCACATGCCTTTGAAAGTGACTTAATTCTCAGATGACTTTCAAATTATTTAGAAGAATGTAAGTATTTATATGTAGACATGTGTTAAGCTTTCTGTGTATACAGAGCTATGCAGCATCCTCCGTCTTCTCTAGGGTGTCAGGAGTTTTTAGGACACTGCTCTAAATCCTGGAGCCTAGTATAAAGTGGTTCTCAGGAGTTGATGGGCTAAGTTTCTAATTGACACTAAATATTTTACGAAGGTCTGATGTGTGATTCAAAGTTAGCATAGCTTCTCTAAGCTGGATCTTGGATATATGCACATACACATTCATACACATGTGCACATACCTATTCATCTATACACATTCATATTACATATTAGAGGTCCTATGCATGAAAATTCATGCACTGAAGGGGGGTCCCTCAGCCTGCCTTGCCCCTTCTCTCAGTCTGAGAGCCCTCAGGGGCTGGAGGCGACCCAACAATCAGGGCAAGGTGATGCCCCATCACGCCTCTGCTGCCGCCACTGCCAGCAATGCAAGCCTCGGCTGGCCCTGGTTACCTGAGCCTTGGGCAGCCCTGGGGGACTGGGGAACTGAGAGGATTGGAGGACTCTAGAGGCAGGCACACTGAGCAGCCAGACCCTCCTGGGTGCAGGCCCCTGGTGGGCTGAGGAGACTGGGTGTCACCATCTTTGAGGGTGTGGCAGTCAATTAGCATATTCCCTTCTTATTGGCTCTGGGCACTGCCATCTTTGTGAGGGTGTGATAGTCAATTAGCATATTCCCTCTTTAACAGATAGGATATGTATATGCTACTTAGAATTAAATCAATGGGGACATCATTGTCCAGCAGGCTCTTGAGGCATACTTCTGAAATTCAAATCCTGGCTCAAACAAAATTTTGTTGTGTAACTTTTCTGAATCTCAACTTCCTCTTTGGTAAAATTGAAATAATAGAGCATGTCCCTTATAAAGTTTTTGTAAGAAATGAATGTAACAGCTAACTTCATATAAAATTCTTAGCATAATTTCTGACTCCTAAGAGCCCAATGAATGTTAAATAACAGTAGTAGTAGAGTATATTATCAATTTATAATTTTTTTAATTCCGATAAATCATTTGAATCACACCTCACTTTATGTCTAATGTAAAATAATTTAAAAATGTATATATTTTATTGATTTTTTACAGAGAAGAAGAGAGAGGGATAGAGAGTTAGAAACATCGATGAGAGAGAATGCACGCATCCCCAGTAGGGGATGTGCAAGCTGCCTCTTGCACATCCCCTACTGGGGATGCGTGCACAACCAAGGTACATGCCCTTGGCAGGAATCAAACCTGGGACCTTTCAATCCGAAGGCCGACGCTCTATCCATTGAGCCAAACTGGTTTCGGGCATGTAAAGTAATTTTTTATTCAGATCCATTTTTTTCAAAAATTGGGCTGAAAAGTATTGGTCCCAAGTTGAGACATTCAAACCATAAGAAAACAACTGCATGTTTGATAATAATAATTTCTCTAACAATATTTAAAGTAGAGCTTACTGAGTGAATGCATCAGCTTCATTATTATTATTATTATTATTTTTGAGGAAACTGGCTTATTTGAGAAAAGGATACAGATAGATTCATTTTAGAGATTATCTTTTTTGTAGTAATTCAACTGTTTTCTGCTGCATAGAATGCAAGAATAACTTAGAGAATAAAAGTCCATAAAAATTACAATAAAACAGTTGAGCACCAGGGAAGGTGCTAATTAATGATATTTAGCCTGGCCTGTGTGGTTCATTTGGTTGAGCATCTACACATGCACCAGGAGGTCATGGTTCCATTCCCAGTCAGGGAACCTGCCTGGGTTTTGGGTTCAGTCCCCATCAGAATTCATGCAGGAGGCAGCCAATCGATGTTGATGTGTTGATGTTTCTATCTCCTCCATTCCTCCCTTTTTCTTTCCAATCAATAAAAACATATTTTTAAAATATATATATATATACATGTTTATATATCTTTAAAAAAAGATATATAAACATGTATATATATATCGCTATAGTGTTATCATTGGCAAGTTATTGTTCTTTCACACTGTAACAATGCGGTATGCAGGTAAGCAAAATCAAATAATTACCCTGCCCTCTATCTCATTAATTTAATAATGAAACATCTGTAATTATCTACAGTTTAAGATGTTGAAGGCATTTAATACTCGGTTGTTTTTCTATGTGTACGTGTGTGTTGTATATTGCAGCTTTATGGGATGGACTGTGAACTACAAGTTCACAAGTTGCATTAAAAGTTGAAACCTGCAACTGTATAAGGAACAACTACTATGCCACACAAATGGCTTCATGTTCATTTTGAATTTTGCTCTAAGACTTTCACTTTCCATTAACCTCCAGTAAACAGAGGATTTTCCTGCTGCTGACTTCAAAGACTACTCTGACACAGAATCAGCTCTCCGGGACACTGGAAGAACTGACAAATAGCTTCTTGTTACTTGGGAAAATGTTTGTTAAGCACCATACAAACATTATTACAGATGAGATCTTCAGTTTTATTTTATCATATTTACTTTTCTTCATAAAATTAATCAAGTGAAAACTAGGACGAGACCGGCTGTGGATTACTTGTTCATCTGCATCAGACCAAATATGGTAAAGAACACCAGCGTTATGTCGTCAGTTGTGCTAACACATAAAACCTTTATTCTCTCTTCCAAGAAAAACAAGTCTGAGGCTCCTACAAACAGCACTTACCAAAGACCCACTTTGTTTCGGGCAATTTCTATAAAGTAATTTGTGAGGAGAGCATTGCCTTGTAGAGGCAGAAACTTAGCTCAGCGAAGTTAAATGATTCATTTGTAACTTAGGTCATGTTGGGATTCAAATGCACAGGATTCCTGCTCTTAGGCCTACTCCACTTTTCATTATACCACTCTGGCCCTTAGAAGGTTTGCTTTGGGCCGAAACTGGTTTGGCTCAGTGGATAAGCATTGGTCTGCGGACTGGAAGGCCTCAGGTTCGATTTTGGTCAAGGGCATGTACCTTAGTTGTGGGCACAGTAGGGGGTGTGCAGAAGGCAGCTGGTCGATGTTTCTCTCTCATTGACTCATTGACATTTCTAGCTCTCTATCCCTCTCCTTTCCTCTCTGTAAAAAAAAATCAATAATATATATATATATATATATATATATATATATTTTTTTTTTTTTTTTTTTTTTTTTTTTTTTTTTTAAGAATGTTTGCTTTGGGGTACCATTAGGAATGGGCATGTAGAGCTCGGAACAGCACTTTTCTTTTCTGTGATCTCTGTATATTTGCATGTGCAGGCATAAAGGGAAAGGTTAAATATTCCTGGTACTCATAGTTGAACACTTCTTCACCAAATCCTGAACCTGGGTATGGCTTATATTGAAACCATTCAGGGTTTTTTTTTTTTGTTTGTTTGTTTTTTAATGACATGTATAATTCTAAAATAAATAAATAAATAAATAGCCTTTTCTTAAAATTAAGCTTAAAAATTGATTTCATATTTTAAGCATGTGACAGAATCCAGAACTCAAAAGATGAATTACTCATTCTGAACTCCTGAGAATGTTTGTGATGTTATAGTGGCCCAACATTATGCTAAATTCTTTCTTCAGAAAGATTTTTCCCCCTAAATTTTGGTTGGATTAACACACAGTAATATTTGAGCATATAGGATATGCAAAATGTTGAGCTATCATGCTGTACACATGATGGACTTACGGACAAAAATAAACCTATATTTATCTCCACTAAAAGCCAGTGAATTCTATATCAGAATTGAAAGTGATTTTTATAGTATTTTGCAAATACTATTAATTATTATGCTAATATTAAAATGGATTTTTCAGAAATTATAAATACTGTTTTTCATAGCAGTAAAATTGTTTACATGCAAAGAATCAAAATGGGGTTGATCTTACCTTTTTAGATGAAATTTTCATTGTTGTTATAGGAACATGATTCTAAAAAATGAAAAAAAAAAACATTGTTAGTTATTCAAGTAATCTTTGAAAATGATTTCGCATTCAAAAGAATTTCTCTTTTCTATTTAAATTCAAGAAATCATTATATCTCTCTAAATGTGTATATACTTTCAAAGTCTAGCAATACTTGTCTATAATATATTTCCTCTGTTGGGGGTAAGGATGGATTTATTACACAAATATATGCCTAACTTAAAACAAATGTTGCAATTATAACACATATATCAATATAGTCATTAGGAAAAAAAAATGACCATTTGAGAGAACTGAAAAAAGTGTATCTTGGAATAATGAATCCAATGAGTAACTCAGGATTGAATCTGGGTATGTGAGTGGGGGCTATGGAATAATATCCCATCTTATTTCATACACAGCACTCTGCGTAATTGAACACAATTGTTCACCTGGCAAAAGTTATTTTGGAAAGAAATATTAGCATGCACCATACTAGTTCTTTTTGCAAACAAAGTGATATTCTTAGGGATCCACTTTATAAAAAATATTGTTTTTTTAAGAGAGAGGAGAAAAAAGAGAGAAATACACCAGTCCATTGCCTCCTAAATGTGCCCCAACCAGCGATCAAACCTGAAATCTGGGCATGTGCCCTGAATGGGCATTCAACCCCCGCCTCTCGGTGTTCGATGCTCCAACTAACTGAGCCACACCCCCCGGGGCAAGGATATTCTTTTAATAAATGTGAACCAGTTAAAGAATCTAAGAATTTTCCGAGATAGTAATCCTTTTTGAAAGCCACTCTATTTATAAATTTACTTCTTAAATATTATTAGTTACCATACAAGATTAAAAAGTAGATGTGATAGCCCAATGAAAGTCTGAATTTTTACTTGATAAACTCACGTGGGAGCAAAATCAACTGTGCCCACAATGATTTCACTTTCTAAAGCTGTATGTTTTAACATTTGAAAGATGAAATGGAAATATCTCTAAACACTATTGCAACAAGTTTGGCTCATTGCTTAGAAATACACACACATACAGGGAAACCATAAAAATCCCAGAAGACTCCATAGGCAGCAAAATAGCAGACATATGTCATAGCAATATCTTTACTGACGCAGCTTCTAGGGCAATGGTGGAAACTAAGAAGAAAATAAACAAATGGGACTATATCAAAATAAAAGGCTTCCATAGAGCAAAAGAAACCATAAAAAAAAACAACAAGAAAGCCCACTGCATGGGAGAACATATTTGCCAATGTTATCACCTATAAGGATTTAATCTCCAACATTTACAGGGAACTCATAAAATTTAACAAAAGAAAGGTACAGTCAAAAAATGGGCAAAGGATCTAAATAGACACTTTTTGAAGGAGGACATACAGAAGGCCTAGAGACATATGACAACATGCTCAAAGTCACTAATCATCCGAGAGATGAGAAGCAAAACAACAATGAAGTACCATCTCACATCTGTCAGGATGACTATCATCAACAAATCAACAAACTACAAGTGCTGGCAAGGATGTGGAGAAAGAGGAACCCTCGTGCACTGCTGGTGGGAATGCAGACTGGTGCAGCCACTGTGGAGAACACTATAGAGTTTCATCAAAAAATTAAAAATGGAACTGCCATTTGATCCAGTGATCCAACTTCTTGGAATATATCCCAAGAAACTAGAAACACCAATCAGAAAGGACATATGCACCCCTATGTTCAGAGCAGCACAATTTATAATAGCTAAGATTTGGAAACAGCCTAAGAGCCCATTAGCAGATGTGTGGATTAAAAAACTGTGGTATATCTATGGAATACTATGCTGTGATAAAAAGAAGGAACTCTTTACCATTTGCAATAGCATAGATGGATCTGGTGAGGATTATGATAAGCTAAATAAGCCACTCAGAGAAAGATAAATGTCACATGATCTCACTCATATGTGGGATATAATGAACAACATAAACTGATGAACAAAAATAGGTCCAGAGACAAGGTAGCACTGAACAGACCATCCAATCTCAGAGAGAAGGCAGGGGAGGGGAAGGGGATTAGAGAGCAACCAAAGGACTTGTATGCATGCATATAAGCAGAACCAATGGACAGATATGAAGGAGGAGGGTAAGGGCATGTGCTGGGAGGGTTGGGGAGGATGGGGAGAAGTCAATGGGGGAGAAAAAGATTCATGTAATACTTTAAACAATAAAGACTTTAAATTAAAAAGAAGAGAAATACACACACACATACAAAAGAAAGTATTGCAACTTATATCCACCTAGGCAACATCTAAAAGTTGCACCTCCAATTCAAGTTAAGTTTAGGGACTCTGGACATATTTTCAGAAATTATTCTGAACAGAGGATTAAAATAAGAGATCGTGGTTCTGCACGGTATATGAAACAACGTGCCTGTTTTTTTAAAAGTTACATTGAGTTTCCTGCAGTATATAAGTGGGACCCTTAATAAAGGGATTTTTCTATTTGAATGTGTTATTTCCTGATGTGCCTATCACAGGATAGCATACACACCCAATTATTTTTACTTCACCTCAGAAAATGTGACCCAAACACCATGTCGAAGACAGTAACTGAATCTCTTAATTTAGCCACATTAGTCACTGGCACATGCATGCATTTTGACTGACTCTATTTTTCCACTGAGAGTTTTCTCTTTGTGATGATAACAGGGCCTAATTCATCTAACAGACCATAAGTTGTTAGCACATGACCAAAGAACTCACGTTTCTTTAAGACCTTGCCATAACATACGTGTTTGAGTTTGTGTCAAACTCACTTAATTAACATTTCCTGATTGCCTAAAAAAAAGATCATTTCAGAATTCAAAATGAGGTGCTACAATGTGGCATTTTTGCTATCTTCAGGAGAAGTTCAGAATAAGGTACTTTACATTATTTTGATTAGCCAAGTTGTCCCTATCGAATTAAATAAGAAAAAATTATATTTTATATAATATATAATGGAATTCTGGTTATTCTAGTAAAACAATTTCTTTACAAAGCAAGCATAGAAAAGGCACTTGAAAACATGTGGTGAACATTTAATGAGCATGATTTTAATGCACTAATCACAAAAAGCTTATGACAAAGTGAGCCAACATTAAACATTGTCAACTTAATAACACTGAACAATTTGCCAGAGTTCTTCACATTTTATAATTGATTTAATTAATTTTAAAAATATTCCTTCACATTGAAAGTATATTAGCATCATCTAACAGCAGGCTGCCTCGATCACTTATGTGTTTATAAATTCAATATTTTTGGTGACGGTGGTAATGTATATTAATAAGTCAATATATTCTGGGTCCACTAAACTAAGCAAAGCAACTCACTGGACTAACAAGAGCTTGCCCATGCATTCTACATGCTATCTTTACTTGGTTAGATGTTGGCTCTAGGCTTTTGGAATCTGTGGGCCAATGTTTCTTACTTGTTGTAGTTGGCAATAGTGTAGAATGCAGTAGAATTGATTCCATGTCCTAGTTTCATTTTGATCCTAACAGCTCTTCTGTCCGTGTTTTTACCCATCTTTTCAAAACAGATAAAAGGGACCACTGAGCTATGGTGACCTACGCCTTCAGTAGAGAAGGATATGTAGGGCACCACAGATCCCTTCTCCAGGCTCACAGGTAAATAGAGAATCAGCACTCTGCCATGACCAGGTAAGATCATGCAGGACTGAACTTCCCTCTGAGTGCCTTTTGTTGTTTTTGTTGTTGTTTTGTTTTTCTTTTTTTAAAAAAAGCCAAATTCAAGAAGAGAAAGAATAATAGTGAGATCTCAAGTTCAGAGAGAACATAAAATTTTGAGGGATAAAGAGACATTTGTTTTACTTAATTAGGGTGACATTTAAATTGAAAACAATAAAAAAGGAGATAACAAAGCAGTTTATCTTGAAATTCCTGGCTAAAAAAACATGATAAAGTTTAATCTAACAATCAACAATATGGAAGCATTTGGGTTTCGGTAGTTTGTGAAGCAAATGATAAAAGCCCTTTCAAGGCAAATCTTCTAGACCTTGACCACTGAACTCATTTAAAAAAAAAAATAATGAACAAAATTCCTCAAGTTGTGATTATAGCTGAGAAACTAATCCTTTTATGTTGAGATAGCTTGAAATGCATCAAAATACTTCAGAAAAATGTTTGTTCTATAATTCTCATGTTATCTGGTGTTCCTACCCTCACAATTTATAACATTCTTTATTTGATCTTTTATAAAATATTATTTTTTCTCTCAAGTGTCTGTTAGACGAAAGACTTCTGTTCCTCATGCATACTCAGAGACTAACAGAAGAGATGTTCAAACCTTAAACACTTCCAGCTCCTCCAGAATGAGCTCGCTGCTGGCAGAGCTGTTGGTTGGAAGAACCACCACCTTCTGCACAGTGCCCCGGTCTACAGCAGAGAAAGAACAAGGAGATGTTACGAGTCTTTTTTTAAAGGGTAAGAAAGGCACTTAGACATAAGACTACTGGCTTAGAATTTAAAGTATTAATCTTACATCATATAAACATTATTGAAGCATTAATGATGCCACTCTATGAGTCATATATATTTTAGGTTGAAAAGAAACCAGTTGAGATTTAACAATGTGGGATTAAAGCACATTTTTGAGTGATTTGATCAAGTAACAATACATTTCTTCCAAAAGATGTTTCTAATAAAATAATGAATGAGATCATCCTGATCGCCAAGGGCTTATTCTTCAATGTATGAGCATGAACTTGTGAATTTTCAATTTGGAAAGGCCCATGACCACAGATACTGAAACACTTTGTAATTCTGTTGAGAGATGTCCATGAGAAGAGTACTGAGTTGTACTTGAGGACTTTGCAACTAAGAGTCACGTAGTGATGAACACCACAAACCACACATCTCACATCTCAAATTGTCTTCTTTTCCACATAAAAGGTCCTCTTCATGCTTATAGTTTCTATTTTATGAATCTAATTAAAAGACTCAAACTAAATTTTAATGAAAAATAAACTGTACTTTAAAAGAGCACCAACTAAAATATTAAAACCTACTAATTTTTTAAAAAAAGTTTATATACACAAGAATAAGATTTGAAGATTTTTCCAGAAAAATCCTTACATCTTGTGAGGATACAAAGTATCTGATCTTAGAAGCATCTGCTCTTACAAGTTTCACACTACACCCCATAACTTAAGATTCATTTCTTCAGCCAAACTATTAATACAAAATAAGCAGCAATGCCAAAGCTCTGCAGGCTCTAGGTGTAATTAAAAAAACATAAAAATATTTTTAAATTGATTAGCTTCCTTAGAAGGAGCCCTGGTACCAATCTGTATGATTCTCCTGGAAGATAAGTCATGAGATTATATGTTGGAAGTAAAAAAAACAAAAAACAAAAACAAAAAACCACTTGAGGGTGCCATGTAGAAAGGTCATATTGAAAACTGATGAATGTGGTTGAAGGTGTTTCCCAATTTCTATTCAAAGTTCATCACCAAGAACAGTGGAAACTTCGCAGGAAGAGAACATGACACAAATCCTAAAATGAAATCCTGGGAATGAAAAGAGTTAGGGCAGGATGTGTGTGTGTGGTGTGTGTGTGTGTGTGTGTGTGTGTGAGTGAGAGAGAGAGATGGATGAGGGTGTAAAAACATCTTTGTTTTAGGTCCTGTTATCAGAAAGGTCATACTTTTTCATTTTTTAAGAAGTCACAGCAGAGTTTATGGGTCCCGAGCAGCTTGTAGGGATCACTGCCATTCCACCTGACAACAGTGGCCTCTTCCCGAGGGGAGACTGAGCAGAAACTGTTTAACCATAATCCCAAACAAAACTACATGAAAGGAGATGTTGATTACAGGGGTTCCCAAAGATAAAACTATCAACCATGAAAATGATTAATTAACTATTCTCAAACAGAACAACTGGTTCTTTTTACCCAATGTCTTAACTTATTATGAGGCAATTTTATATAGATTATCATTTCTTCTGAAAGAAGCCACAGGAAACATACTTTATTCATGCCGTTTATAAAATATTAAAAAAATAGCAGCTATGCAAGTGGTCTAAAAGAAGGCAATGTAAAACTTGCTTTTTACTTATTTGTAATCAAAACTGGAAGAAAATTTTAGTTTCCTATTTTAGTTTTGTTTGCTGCTAATGATGAGTAAATTTCCATTTTATTTGAATACCATTAAAGGAAAATACATATTTTTTTTTATCAAGTAAAACTGAATGTAAAGTTATGTGAAACTCTTGTAAAAATTTAAATATATTTAAGTATTGGTAGCAATACTGAAAGTGAAGTTTAAATGAAATCATAGAAATGCAAGATCCACATACAGAAACATATATTGGATGCCCATTATGTGAGTGGCTCAATGATAAAAATGTATCATTTAAACCTGCCTTTCAAGAAAAGAATATCCATTTTAATTCTTTTATTTTTTCCATGTTCAGACTTGTATTGGTACAATAGGTACTTGCATTCCTGCAGGGCCCTTTATTACACTGATTCAATGTTAATCAGTGCATAAAAAATGAACATGCTTGTTCTTATTATAATTAAACATATTAAAAGTTCTTTATGCATAAATTAGAATAGTTATTCAAATTTGTGGTTTTTAAATATGAATAGTATAGGTTTAAAAAGTCCCTGTATTATTTATAATCATCACTATTAATAATGGTTAATCCAGGTTTATGAGACATTCAACTTATACAGTTTAGGGGGACTTTCTTTAAGTAAAATAATACAGAAAACAGTTATTTGAATCTTTCCCAATAGATAAAAATGAGACACTTTAAAAATATGATAAATCCACCGCTGATAATTAGTCTAATTCTCTAAAACAAAAGATTCTATAACACTGGAGATACTCTTTGTAATATATTCTTTAAATGACATATTTGTATGATATATTCTTTAAATCAAATAAGTTCTGGTTATCCAATATCTACAATATCTCATTACTATAATTTTATCATTCAAGATCACTCTTAAAAATGTTTTTATTGATTTTAGCAAGAGAAGAAGGGAGAGACTTCTCCATTGGCTGCCTCTTGCATGCCCCCTTACTGGGGATCAGGACTGCTACCCTGGCATGTGCCCCGAGCAGGAATCGAACTTATGACCCCTCAGTGCTTGGGACAATGCTCAACCAACTGATCCACACTGGCCAGGACAAGACCTCTCTTTCAAGTGCCAGCAAAATGTTGGAATATTTATTTTTCAGCTGAGTATAAGCAGACCCGCCTCTGTTTTGTTTATTCACTGGAGACTTTCTTCTGTCCCTACCACGATCACACTCATTCTGTTCTTCACATCCCTCCAAGTTTATCTTTCTACGCTCTACACTTTTTCTCTGTTCTAAGCATGATCACTCTATTCAGGCATACCTGATTCAATTCAAATTAAAACCCAAATCACATCCCCTGTTTCTCTGGATACACTAGTGTGGCATTATTGCAATTAAAAGTGGTGCTCAGAATTATACAGTTGTGGTTTTCTTTTACGATGCTGCCAGATCTCAGTAAGACTGGAATGTTGAAGATATAGCAATAGTTCTATAGTCAATCAACAACTTAGGTGACTACCAGAATCTCTAGGACTTGGTGCCTCAGAAACAAATATCCTAACTCTGGTGTACACCATTTACAAGCTTCCGCTTTGGATGTCTTTATAGGTCTGCTCCTGTTACAAACTGCCTAATGCCCACAAGCTCTAATTCAGGTTCTCATGATACGAATTTAATTCGGCCCAACTTAATCATGACTAAAGCACATTATAAACCACTACTTAGTAGACAGTTCAGTTATCAAATGCTTAAATAACATTTAAATCCATTGTGGTGCTGGGAAAGAGTCATATATGGAATTACCCATGACTCCTTCCTAATGAGATGGTTTCTTTCAAAAAGCAGTCTTGGTAGACACCAATAGTTTTCTTTTGAAAACAGACTCAAATCCTTCACTTCCCTATATAAAAAATACTTTAAAAATATTTTATTGATTTTTTTACAGAGAGGAAGAAAGAGGGAGAGAGAGTCAGAAACATCAATGAGAGAGAAACATTGATCAGCTACCTCCTGCACATCTTCCACTGGAATGTGCCCACAACCAAGGCACATGCCCTTGACCGGAATTGAACCTGGGAACCCCCATTACTCTATCCACTGAGCCAAACTGGTCAGAGTAGGAAATACTTTTGACATATCGTTGGACTGTATAATTCACTACTATGTAAATAAATAGATTTGGATTATCTTCCATCCATTTTCTCTCATTAATTCAACGTAATATTATTGAACACTTTCAGTGTGTCAGCTATTATATCAAGTATGTATGCAGAGATAAATAGGCATGGTGGTCAGGATTTATGTTTTTTTCAGTATCAGGTATGTTCCCATTAATATGTTGTCACTAAAAAATATGCATTTTAGAATGTCTATAAAACTCCCAATTCCTTATATCTATATAGAGCTGTCTCTGTGTCCTTTAATTTGAAGATGATAATATAGTTATCAAGTGTCTTTCTTCTGGAGGTAGTAAGGATATTATTCCTTGGATGTACTCACAACATGAATCATTTTTATTGCACTGAGGAATTGGGATATTGTTTTTAATTCCTTGGGAAAAGCATCATACAGACAATAGAGTTACAGTGAAGCAGATTATCGTCCTTTTTTTTCTTAAACCTCCATTTGCTTGTGTGTACAACGTAGATGATAATTATACCTTTTGTGATGGATGCCTGTTACTAAGGCTTACCTAGAATCACCTCCCCTTCTTTTGAGAATAACATGCTGAGACATTTGGGAAACAACCCCTTTTCATTCATGTCTGCATAGTTGAGCAATGGTGTAGCACCTTGCAGCTCAGGGAGACACACAGGGCCAGGCTGGCCCTAAAGGGCATTCCTTTGCCTGTGATTCATGCAGGAGTGAGCATAGAACAAGTCAGGGCCTAGGGCTGCCTGAGAATTAGAGAAGTGGAAACCTCTTGCTTTCTCAGTTCAGGGCTGTTAAAGACATAAATTTGAAGATGTTGGAGCCATCCTTGCTGCCATATGCTGAGGATTTATGTTGTGAATATATTCAAGGAATGCCATTCTCACCAATCCCAGAAGAAAGACGTTTAATAATTGCATTTTCATCTTCAAATTAAAGGATACAGAGATGGCTTTATGAAGACACAAGTAATTGGGCGTTTCACTCACATTCTAACATGCATATCTTTCAATGACTAACATTTTAATGGGAGCACACATAAATTCCTGACATCGTTTTAGCACAGATTCAACTATGCCGGAGGCTGCCACCTGCATTTCCCAGTGAGCACACAAAAAGAAACACACACACACACACACACACACTTTTTTTTTTATTAGTTTGAATAAGGTGTCTGGGGTCACTGTCAGTTGA